GATCGCCATTGAGCCAATTGCCTCAACATCCGCTGCTGATAACTCCTGACATAACCTGACTCTCCAGTGCGAGGTTCACAGCGGCGCTGCAAAGGACACATGCAATGCCAGATGCCACCAGTGCCTTGTTTGCTGATTTGGATGAAAGTCATTCGAGACAATATGGAGCTCGCAGCCAGATGCTCCTGTTCAGATATGTGGGACCGTTTGCAGCTGAGCTCCAACCCACTGTTGTTCTGCACTGCAAACAAGCTGGATCCCGTCCACATTTGCTCTACCTTCCAACAAGCAATCCACGCCTAATTCCGCACACTATGCATCCCACTGCCTCCAAGCACAATGTTCCAAAACCCTAACGCAATCCGAAATCTCTCCAATTTCTTTGCCGGGCACAGCGCCTGCATCACCGGCCCTAAACTCGACCGTCTCAATGTATGACCAGAAACATGCGTCCCCTGGATGCGCCACTGCACAGTGCCCCTGCGCCCCACCATAGCTGCCGTTGCCCAGTCCGGCAGGTTCAATCTTCCAAACTTGGCCATTTCTACACCTTCATTTTTGTCTCCTGGATTTGTATCGCAATCGTGAAGATGCAGTGAAGTCGGTTTGACTGCTTGTTCACCAGCGTCCGTGGCAAGGTTGCTGCAGGCTTTGGAGCGTGGATCACGAAAGAGAACGAAAGCTGAGACGCTGCTGAACAAACAATCAAGCCAGTCTCGCACTATCTTCACTACCATACGGTTGCTACCTCATGCACGCACAAGATGTCATAAACCTCCAGGCTTACAGGTCCGCCGAATACATTTCGTCTTGGCAGGTCGGCCCCACGCTTGGCATGTCCAAGTTGCGCTTGCCTGCCTGCGCTCAGCTTGGGAACACCAACAAATGGATGCACACGGAACGCTAACCGATGCCCACACACCCGAAAGAGTTTTGTGGCGCTGCTGACAATGCAATCCCGCAGCCCCTAAGCCACCACCCCCATCTTGTCCTCCACTATATTTAGCTTGCTTCGCTCATGCTACTGCACGCCATCACCCACCGCCAGCAGATCAGTCAGCTCTTCCTTGTACACCCCCAGGAAGCTCACCCGCCACGAGGAGTCGATCTGGCTCCCAGCCAGATCGACTCCTCGTGGCGGGTGAGCTACCTAGAAGACTACAATGGAGAGCTAACGGACGTGCTTGCAGTGGATGATGGCGTGAAGCAGGATGAGTGAAGCAAGGTAAAAATGGCATGGAATTAAACTTCTCCCGTAAGAGGATGAAGCCTGCCTTTCAAACGGATGGCCACCCAGTTCTGGAGGGGCCGGGGCAGCGACGTTGGCCCACAGCTAAGCAAAGTAGAAAGGGCACGAAAGGCATAAGGTGCCACCTCGCAAAGGATGGCAGGTCCGGATCGCGGATGTCAATCGGAGCTGAATCCCCTGGCATCCACCGGGCCGGCACCTAAACGTGCCTGGGGCCGCCTCGGACGCGGCCCGCGAACCAGCAGCCCATGGAAGAAGTGTATTGACGCGGCAAAGAGGTCCTCGTATGGCGGAAGGGCTGGGCGTCGGTTGATTCGCGGCGCTTGGCCAGCCCACAGTCGAAAAAACAAAACAGTCCACTGTTGCAAAAAGAAATATTCATAGTCAGGGTGACGGGCCCGTAAATCTGCTGGGTACGCGCGCACACCTCCCCTCCCAACGTGCTGCCATGACGTGTCACATTTCCGCATCTTGTTTGGCACGCAGCCTATTTCCCAAGTTTGTGGGAATGGTGCCATGGAGTTCGTGGGAGGAATGCGGTTGCGCTCGACGTTCGTTGTATATGCTTACGAGGTGGGGCAATCGACACATTGGCACTTGCAAGGAGGGGATGGAAAAACGCATGTGCAAACATGTAATTGGTTCTTGTGTATTGCTCGGTCGGTGCACATTAGATTCTAGTGTCACAAAAGTCCCAATTATGGACCGCAGACAGAAGGGCCTGCCCAAGCGTGCGCTGCCAGAACAAGCGCTGCGCAGGTAGCGGGAGATTGTGATTGTGCACAAGCAGAATTGGGGAAAAAAAGCCAAATCAGCAAGTTTGTGTCACATTTGCAAGGTGTTGAATTTCCAATTTGATCTCAGGAATAATGTGCTTAACATAACAAACATTTGAAGAGCGTGAAGACTACAGTATGCTTTGTTTGCAATCGTGTAAGCCACCACGAGTGTGCTTGTGACTGTGTACTGATAGGCCATGGTTGGAATCATTATGCAAAGAGGGATCTCCATACCTGGAGGGTAGAGGCTTGCATGTCACACGGTTCTCCCAGCAGCAACACGCGAATCTCAGCGGCGATCATCAGCGGCAACCCAGTTGCACTCTGTTTTCGCGCTATTTGCTGGGCGCTGGTGCTCGCCGGTGACTCCAAACGCCGGCGGCAACAACGGAAGAGGAAGGGTCACGCGTGCTTGCTGCCGGTGCGGGTTCCCCTTCGCCGCGGAGGGGCAGCGATGGGATGAACGGTTGCCGCGATGGGCCGGCCACAGGGGTCGACGGTCGACGGGGTCCCTGACGGGCCTAGCGCGAGATTGGCGTCCGGGTTTCCAGTTCAGGGCGCCAGGACCTAGCTACGTGGCGACGGTGATGAGATTCCGCCAAATTTGGTTATTGGATTGATCTTTTCCCGGTCCGGCCCCCCTCCGCCACACCGAGCGACGTCTCTCCTGACGACCCCGACAACCCCTCCCCCCCCTACCTCCCCGGAGTCCTCAGCGTCGACAACCCAACCGCAGGTCGCCCCTTTTCTCACCCCGATCGGCCCTCCCCGATATCCCCCTCCTCGCGCGCAAAAGCTCCAAGAGATTCAAAGATCCGACAGACCATTCCCCGCGTCCGGCGGGGGGTCCTGCTCCGAGATGGCCAGGGTCAAGAACATGATGAAGCGGCTGCTGGGCAAGCGCAAGCACGGATCGTCAGTCGAGGACGCGCCGCGGCGCCCCGGCAAGCTGATCAGGCTGTTCAAATGCCTGTCGGTGGAGGACGGCAGCAGCGGCAGCGGCGGCGGGTTCAGCCGTGCCCCCGGACCGGGTCAGTCGATCGCCTGCGGATCGTCTGGCCAATCCAACGGGGCACCCGGAGACTGGGAGGGCCTGCAACTGGTGGCGACTAGGCCCGCGGGGCCCAATCGGCGCACTGAGTGCGGCGGGCCAAGCCTTGATGGGAATCAGAGTCTGTTTGAGGAGATGACCGAGCTGGCGGAGGAGCGGGCCAGCATGGTGGCTTGGCGGGCGCTGAGATTGGAAGGCGAGATTTGGGCGAAGGCGGAGACCAGGGGGTTGCGATCGGAGCTGGAAGATCTCCAGGGGGTCTGCGAGGGGCTGGCGCGCGAAGAGCGGTACGCCAGCCTGGAGCTGGACGCGCTGAGGTGGAAGAACGCCGACCTGAAGAAGTGCTTGGAGGGCGCGGTGGGGGAGGGGGAGGGATTGGAGGCTGAGGTGGGGAGGTGCAGGGCAGATGCGCGGGAGGCGTCCGCGCGGCTGGTGTCGGCGATGGGAGCCGAGTGGCGGGCGGAGGGCGGGCGGCAAGTGGCCAACCGGCGGCTGAGGGAGCGCCTGTGGGCCCTGCGCAGGGCGCAGGGGCGCGAACAGGAGGCGATGACCCGCTTGAGGAGGGAGCTCGCGGGCCTCAAGGCACGGCTCCGGGACCAGGAACGCTGCCTGACGGCGCTTGAGGGGGCGGAGAGGAGGATGACGAGCGAGCTGCGCGAGGAGGAGGCGGCGGGGAAGGAGCTGGAGGCGGCGATCGCCGAGGGGAGGCTGGCGGCGGGGACGGCGCGCGCGGCGGGTGACCGCGCGGCCGAGGTGCTGATCTGCGGCGCGGCGCGCGCGGAGCGGGACGCGCGGATGCGCGCGGCGTGGCTGGCTGCACTGCGACGGGGGCAGGCGGAGGAGGCGGCGTTCATGGGCGGGGAGGTGCTGCCCGCGTTGGCGGACCTGAGGGGGGGGATGGCGGCGGCGGAGGGGGGCGAAGAAGCGGCGCCAGTGGCGACGACGTGGTCCCGAGGGCGGAGGTACGAGGACGAGGGGCCATCGTGCGGTGCAGCGTGTTCGGGCCAAGAGGGGCTCGGGCGGGGACTGGATCCGAGGATGTGCGGGGCGAGGGGCATTTTCACGGACAGCGATTCGGATTAGAGCGGCCTCGGGGGCCGAAGGGGGGGATTGTGCGGGGGGACGCGCGTGTCAAGTCGAACAACGGGTTGCAGTGCCAGCTGCACCGCTCCAGCTGTGCGGTCGGCAGCCTGCTTGGCTGCCTGCTGCTGATAATTCTCCCAAGCAATGGTAAAGGAAGTGCATCGCTTTGCGGGTGCGCCGGCGGCCTTGCAGGATCCGTGGTCTGATCTGAGCTCTGTGCCCAGTGTGCATTGTGCGCAAAATGTACCGAAACACTTGTCGAGAAGGGCAGGTCTATAAGGTGCGCCGGAAGGACTCGCTTAGCTGAATTCACCACAATAGAATGCCAGACGGAAAACGATATTCAAGATTTGGAACCAACAAGGTATGCCATGATTGGCCTTGTTTTGATAGCGTTGCCTGCACGAGGCCAAATAGTGCCCTTGCACCTTGACAGCCAAAACTGTCATTGCAAGTAGCAGCACTCTGCGCAAACCTCAATTAGCAGCATGAGTTTCCAACAAGGATGTTGGCAAGACTCGTTGCTCCAGCACTCCCACCCACACATATATGTCGTCCTGCAGATCGCATTCTTGCAAGGAGGGAATGCTCCAGCGTGACACCTGCTTTCCCGTTTCCAGGATCCTTCATGACCAGGCACTGCACCTAAAGTGCAGCCTGTTCGCAACAATGGCCTCACCTGGGCAATGATATTGAGATTACAAACTGCTGCCAGTGAACGTTACCCCACAGCAAACTGCGACTGCATCCCAATCCAGCTGCCTGATTTGTACACAGAATGACATCCATCTGATATGCATGGTCGCAGCCAACCCATGTATTGCCTGGGAAGGTAGAGTCATTTGCTGGGGAGCGCACTGCCTTGTGCAGCTGTGGCACCTTCATCGCGCTTTTGTGTCTTTGTCAATAGCGGCATGAAGTGAGTGCCACATATCTGGCACTCTTTCACATTCTGGCAGAACACAGCAAGGCAAACGGAGCACACGAAGCCCAGGTCGATCGGTTTTCTGTGGCAGAAGCACGAGGCCTTGAAGTTCACAGCCTGGCCTGCATTCTCTGTCAGAAACCCTCGTGTTGCTGTGTCGGCTGCAAAAGCCATGTTTAGGTACTGCAGCAGCGCAGACTGGAGCTCTGGCTTCATGTATGTGCCACCCGTGAGGTGAGCAGCCTGTTGGAGAAATGATGAGCTCTCCTTGCCCATGTAGCAGGCGTCAATGCTGACATTGGACCTTTGGGCGGAGAAGATGGCATTCATGACTGACACATACTCTGCAGGTTGGTCTGGGGATACCATGAAGCAGAGGATGCGCGGCCTGGAATTGCGAGACAGCCTTGTCTTGCTGGCCTTGTGGAGGAAGCACAGGGCGCGGGACAGGGCGCCTGAAAGTGCCGGGGCCAATGGCTCTCCACCTGGCAAGAGCGACATGAGCCCTTCGTATCAGAATGAAGGCTGAAGAGAACATCGATGCCCCTATGCGGCCTATGGACGTCACAAACAATTAACGAAAATTGGTGGCAAACAGCACAAAGCTGTTTGAAAAAGCCGATAGCCTGAATGACAGGTTGATTGAACATCGAACAGTGTACTTCTCAAGTGCATACACACTCCAGTGTTTGTAACAATACCATACACTGAAAGTGACAACTCAATGTTTCACACATTCCAATTCAACTTCTTTATTTCGTTTTCTGTTCCAAGACCTGCAGCACTTCATCAGACATTTGGCTGAACCGAAGTCCAAACACAACAGACAAGCACACCATGAGTGCAGCTTCTGCTGTCACTCTGCCTTGGTGTACACAAAACCAAAATGCACCTTTTCCACGGTTGGGATGTTTTCTATTCAGTTCCTTCAACCGCTGCAGCATCATGGAACTTGGCAGCATGGGCTCGGCAGCCTCTCCATCTTCCTCATCGTTCTCTGCGCCCGCAGGTAGGTGCAGCAGCAGTGGGCTGTGGCAAACAGCTCTGGTCAGCGACGGTTAGAGGCTCCAAAGCTAAAGATGATAAAGTCTTAATTGAAGCACACACGCAACAATAAAAGAACATGATTTGTCTTCACTGCACCAAAGAGACTGTCCATGACCATCTCTTGCCGACTGTACATCATTCCTTCCTCAGAGCATCTTCAATTCGTTTTCACCTGTCGCCAGTACTTTATTAAGAGTTTTCAATATGATAATGAGGAGGTAAATGTACTACAAAAGTGCTGTGTCTGCAGGTTCTGCACGGATAAACTGGTTATAAGTTCTGGTGGACTGCAACGCGAGCAGAAGATGTGCTGTGGCTGTCACAGACACCAGAGATGTTGGCCAAAACGCCAAGGATGGGATGATGAATGAAAGCAAAACCACCTTCATGGCAATGTGTGCATCACTTATAGTCTGCAGATAACACTAGAAAGTCAGTGAGAACCACTTTGTTAACATTCTTCCACGAAGCATAATGCTTGTGTTGCACCCACAAGGAAGCAAAGCAAATCATAATATGAAGCAAGGAAATCAAGCTCCTTTATAGAATGTACCCAGTGCAGCGACGCAGAAAACAGCACACTGGTCATGGAACATATCTCTTCGAAGAGATCACCATGCAGCACGGATGGTCAAACAAGCCTGTGCTGCTCCATAACGTACTCCCATTCCTACAAGCGCAATATCATCAGCATGCAATGTGGCAATACTTTGGCCCCTTCCGAAGGCTCGTTCCAGGGAGGCCTGTGCCCCAATGCAACACTGATCACGATGCCCAGCATGAGTCCTTTGACCGCGATGCCCAATATTGACAAGCCACAACCTTGGCGTTTTCAAGCATACGACTGTGCACCGACCCTCCAGAACGTGATCTACCTGAAATCGTGTTCTGATGCATTTCGTCACTGCAGATTTCTGCACATCAGATTTTGCAGATCACAGTGCTCACAAGATCAGCGACTCAAACAATTGCCTTTTTCACGCGACCCCTTTGCTCTCACCTGCACCCGTCGTGCACAGCATACACCACTAGCTCGTTGGCAGCACTCAGAAGCAGGAAGCAGTTCACGAAAGCCATGATCTCCACAAAACATTCACCATGATGTTAAATCGGGATCGTACTGCCCCAAGTTGTTGTGCCCGTCAAACAGCTACTGAGCCTCTCCTAGTTCAGTGCAAGCAATGAGTCACCCAGGACAATATTCGGGTATAAATATAGAGTTTGGAAAGAAAATTTGGATGCTTAAAAAAATCGTAATTTCACGAAATTTAGCAATTTCGTTGTGGGCAATGACCTTTGATCAGTGTGGTCCGAGAATTCTCTCCCAGCCAAAAGTACATTTCGGGCATTCCCAGTATCGCACCTGCTCCAACAGCGTGCTTTCCCCAGAGGCGTCGGCGCCGTTCTCAGAGAAGCCCCAGAGCAACGGATGGGATTCCAGAAGGATTACCAGAAGTTCGCCTTCGGCTGTTCAGGGCACTCAATTTCAGGCACGCAGGCAGGCGCAGGTTGACGGGCGCCACCAGCTTTTAGTCAAAAAGAGGCAATCCTGCCCGGTGGAATCTCAGGCGCCCTCGAGGCCAGCACTCTCAGAAGTGCATCCAAATCCATCGGCCAGCTCACCTTCCGCCATTGCCGCAAGGCGCAGCGGTGAGCCGCTGCCGGGCTGGAAGGGTTGGCCCGCAGCGCCCAGTCGAGCCCGTGTACGCCGCCCGGATCCTGAAGCGAAAGGCGCAAAGCCCAACGGACCGGCAGAATGCCCGAGCGAGAGGAGCTCTGCCGCTGAGCAGGAAACGGGGAAATCGACCCCAGTGAATGGAACCCAGACACTTGGAAGCGACTCACTTGCGCTTTTTTGCACTCCGAGGTGGGGCCTCGGCGGTGCATCACATCGATGTTTTTCCCGTCCAGTAGTCGACCCTCCTCCGAACTTCTCATCTTCTTACTCCCCGATCGCGTGCTCGGGTAGCAGAGGGGTGCCCGCGTGGCCTGGACACGGCAGCGCGTGCACCGCTGGGCACCGCCTGGGCTGTGGTGGTCGCAGTCAACGCCCAGGGCGAGCGCCTCGATGCCCTTCGCCGGGGGCGCCTCGGCGCTGCTCGCCGCACTGCTGTTCGTTGGGCAGTGTTGCGGCAGATCGGTGACGTCCGACGCGAGAGCTACCCTGGAGGCGGATGCACCCCGCGCGCCCGGCTCACGGGAGGCGTATGCCACCCTGTTGTACGGGGATGACTTCATGCTGGGTGTGAGGGTGCTTGGCCAATCCATGCGCGAGACCAACACGGACAGGTGCGGAATCTTTGGGACTTGATTCTGCGGGAGTTGTTGCCCCGCGGCGTTTTGGAGGTGCTCATATAGATGTGGCTGCCAGCCCGATTCTTGCTGGATGGATGAATGATCGCCGACAACCATCCCCCTTGACTGCTTGCATCCCCAGGCTTCGGCGCAGCTTTCTCGGTCTTGTTTTGCTGTTTGCGAGCCGTTCTGTGTTCGTTTGCTTGGCAAACTGCAGCAGCAGATCATCTTATCCAAGTAGATGTACTGCGTGCCTCGTTGTATAGTCTCGATGGCGATATCCTATTCCTGGCAAGGCACACAATCCTGCTTGCGTATCAGAATGGAATTCTTCCATTTGATTATATCAACAATCCTCCAACGATGCCTGCACATGGGAGGCACGCAACGCCTGAACGGTTCTGTCGGGATCATTTAAGATTCTTGCTCTGGATTGGGCTTCTAATGGAATGACATTGGCACCCCACTTACTAAAGACGTTCTTCGATTATTCTTAAAAGATTCTGCTATTGACATGAAACTTGTTGTAGGTGAAAAAGCAGAGCTCTGGCAGCACGTTTAGAGACTCAAAGAGAAACTTTCCTCCACACAGATGACCTGGTGTGCACTTAATGTGGAGCCAGGCCTGTGCTCCATAGAGTTGCTGCAGCTGCCATTGAGACTGCGCTGCAACAACACAACAGAGGGTGAATTTCGCCAGTCTGGATTGCCCGCAGGGACCTTGTTGTCCTAGTCACAGGCAACATTCTACCTACCTCAATTGAGACCTTGATGTCAGATGGTTGGATCGTCAAGAGGGTGGACACAGTGTTCAATCCAGCCAAGGGACCGCACCCTGGCGGGTTTCCTCAGCGATTCTGGGCCGTGTACACGAAGCTGTCTATTTTCAACTTGGTGGAGTACGACAAAGGTGTGGGAAGTGTTGCACAGCAGCCGTTCTGTTGGATTCCGAAATTTACTTATGTTTGAGAGCTTTGGAGAAGGGAACAGAAGCGCTGTGGTCACCTCACAAGAATGCACAAGACGTTGTGGTACCCAAAGAGTTGATTGCATAAATGTGACTACACAATCCCAAACAAGACAAGGTTGGCGCCTTCTGGAGTTTCTTTACCTGGGGGGGAAGGGGAAGCAGGGGGGGAGGGAAGGTGCTCATAGATCATGGATCACAGCCAATCGATGGTTCAGTTGCTGCAAGGATCGAAACAGCAATTGTACCACACGTACCAATTTCCTCATGCCAAGTCCCAGGTCCCAATTGTGGACTTTCTCTCAAGTGTCTGAAGGAAAACCTTCAAAAACATCCTTTCACAGATGCTCGGAAGGGCACACAATATTCATTGTATATTTGTGCTTGCTTGTTGCAGTGGTCTACCTCGATGCCGACACAGTCATGACAAAAAACAGTGATGTGCTGTTCAGCTGCCCGGGCTTTTGTGCCACGATGCGCCACTCCGAGCGTCTCAACTCAGGTGTGATGGTCGTGACACCCTCTAAGATGCTTTACGATGACATGATGTCCAAGATCGAGGAGTATCCCAGCTATACTGGGTGAGCCCTTCTGTGCCTGAGCCCCAGGCTCCTGGAATCCCAGAGACCCAGCGTCCTAAACCGAAGCTCCTACGTACCTGGAGTCCCAGAGGCTTGGTGTGCCAAATCGTTGGGGGGCTGGATCTTTACAGTCCCAGAGTACCTTGCACTTGGGTTTCCACAGTGCTGGAGCCTTGAAACCTTGGTGTCCTGAACACAATTACCGAGCTGTGCTGCCTCAAACGGAAGCAAAATGCTGGGAGAAAAAAAAACAGCATTGCAGTACAATGCAGCCCAACCTTGAAAAATTTCATGCAATGGATTTTTCATGCTCAACACGGCAGCAAAACAGGAGCTCTGCCAGTTGCTATGTAGGTTTGCTGCTCAGTATCAGAAAGTGTATGGAATACCATTTGATCCAGCACTCACTCACCTGAACAGAGACAGCGATGCTTACACATACACTTGGCACTTCGGTAAGGTGGCCCATCCGAGAAGATCAAAGGTCCAGGCCCTGTATCTTTGCGGCTCATATGTCATGCCCAATCTGCTCAACACGGTAATCTGGTTCTCGATTTCTGCCTGAGTGAGGTGTGTTGAACATGTGACAAAGTCGCTTCCCTGCACTCATTAGGTGTGACCTGTTGTGTGGTGCATTCCAAATCAGCTTCGTGACTGTTGCCAGCTGTACCCTCACAATGGCTTTGCAGTGCATTTGGTGGTAAACTTATTTGGGTGACAATGTTTGCTGGCGGTGCATGCCAGGGGTGACCAGGGTTTCCTGAATGCATATTTCAGTGACTACATGAATGCCAGAGTATTTGACCCAAATGACACCTCTCAAGCTGCTGATGCCAAGGTGGGTCATTTGTGGACAGGGAAGCAGGAACATCTCAGCACCGGCATCTGACTCCAGTATGGGCAATAGAAGTTGTCAGATCATGAAATGACGATCTATCAGCTTGGAATATTTATGATTTTGCACATGATCTGTTATGACATTAAGTGTGCGATGAACTACAGAACTCCTGGATCGGGAAAGCCGTTTGCTCTCACAGTTCTCCTTTGGCATTGATGATTTTTTGTGGCTGCAGTTTTGGAATAGTGTGGTATCAGCATTAGCTAGCATTTAGTTGCACAATCTTTGGCAGAACTGTCTGTTTGTTTGCATTATTTGTGGCCATACCTTCGGCCATTCATAATCAAGAGCGCCCCTCTGGAATTGGCAGCACCACTCAACGACATAGTGTTCTGTGCAGATGATGAGGCTGCCGACATCATTCAATGCAGATGTGGGGCTGTATGTCATGAATTCGAACAGGTGGATGATACCCAAGGAGAGCATCTACATCATTCACTTCACACTGGCGACCTTCAAGCCCTGGAATTGGTGGACACCCTGGATTATCAAGGAGACAAAAGTCTGGCTGGTGAGGTCGATGATGGCATTTCTATGTTCCAATTTGAGATTGCACGTCATCTGCAGGCCTTGGGCTTGAGCCACGGCTATTGGCATGTGATGCTTCACTTTCTTGCTGCAAGTCTTCCTTGGCCTATGGCCAAAGTGCGCCTGGACTTGTTGTGCACTGTTATGCTTTGGTGCTGCACTGATCCACATAGACTGTGAGCGTGCGAACATCAATTTGGCACGGTGCTGTTTCTTCTTGCACGTTCACAACTCGTGCAAGACTGTCACCAGCCTCAACGTTGGACTGCACAAGAGTGGGCTTGCCTTGAGGAGGCAGAAAGAATCGAAGCAGAGAGTCGAAGAGAAGTCAATACAATTATGCACAAGCTGTTTCCACAGTCACTCTACTGCTCACAAAGGAAGTTGATACCCATTGCTGCCTTGTCTGCAAGGCCTTTCGTGAGCACCTGCCGAAGGATTCCCTTGGCTACAGCCATGGCATGACGCCCTTCCAGCACTTTGCCCAATTCTGGATGGTCATCATCCCCCTCGTGGCAGCCGCCATCCTGGTTCGGAGGTACCTCTGGGGCAGCGGGATCGGCTCCGCATTTCGCCCCTTCCCGTCAGGCCCAGGCTCGCCCAAGGCAGGAGGGTCTGGAGTGGTGGCGCGTGCTATGGTACCTAGGCAGTTCACAGGCCTGTCCATCATCGTTGGCTTCCTCAGCATCTTGTTGCCTCTGGCGGTGACCTTCTCCATCGTGCCCAAGCATGTAGGTGTCCCCATCTGCACACGCCTTCTCGGGGGTCGATTGCATGTCTTTTGGTGCTTTGTGCATTTGAGTGTGTTGGCTGCTTTTCTCAGCTGCACACCTGCAGCTCTGGGCGACGGCAGCTGAAGTGCCCATGAACGAATTCCAGGTTGATTTGAATGAGCACGTGCATTGCATTGCAAGGAATATGTTGGGTGCACACAGTGCGCGAAGTCGCAGATGAGTGGACATTGCGGGCCACATGTGTGCATGGAATGGCCATGCTGTGTGCGCGTTCTGTGTGATGATGTTGCAACATCGTCCCATGCAAATGGGCCTCCATGACGATGGAGGAAGACAGGAATGGACTAGTGCATGTTTCCAAAATAGGTATTAACCTTTTTCTTGCCAAATCTTTTTGCCATGCCTCCATCAGCCCTCCACAGTTTCGGCGGGGCGCAGGTAATGTGATGCAGATGGCTTGCTTGTTTTGACATGTATTCGATATATTCCATCACAGTTTGGGATCAAAGGAATGGAAAAGGAAGAAAAAGAGCACATGGTTCTGCTGCATTCATGCACTCAATGTACCACTGATGAACCAATTTTCCAGTTGCCCATGCTCTGGTTGTTGGGGCAGTGTTCCTGCTCTCTGCTTCGCACCTCTGTGCAGCTCCATTTGCATCACAACTGCCTCAACAAGGCGACGTGTGCCACAAATGTGCAGTGATTACATGAAATGCTGCAATTGCGATGAATTGGTCGAGCTCTTATTGTTGTCAACGAACTGGAAAAATGAAATTATGGTTCAGTGACAGCACGTGGGAATGTGGCACACATCATTGCCCTTGCAACCAGCGGACAATGATTATGTGCATCGAAGTGTGAGGCATCGCGGGCTGTTGCCTTCATTAGATATTGGCCCTCGAAAGGCACCCCACGGCCGCCAACGGCACGCGGCACTGTGATCTGGGGGCATTGCCCCCACATCGCCTGGATGTCTCTGAGCCCGTCGTCGCTGGCAAGCTGCAAAGTACACTTCTTGCCCTGGCTGCTCCGACAGCTGTGATCTGCACAGTTACTGAATGCTGGCGACTGTGACCAAGGAGTGTTGTGTCTGCGCTGCAGGTATACCCGTTGTGGGGCTGGATCCTTGCCTACGAATGGACCCTCCTGATGCATTACTGCCTGTTTGGCCTGTACCTCAACTGGTGCTACCGCCGGGGCAAGGCGTCGGCATCGCCTTCCTCACAAGTGTACAAGGTGGGCTCCCTCCGACATGCTGTCGACTCTGATTTGGAAACGCGTGGATTGGAACACCCATTGGAGCAGCCATTCTTGCGTTTCGAGTTGACTGTGTTGTGTGCTCATTTTTTCGCATGGAAGATATCTATAAAGATAAATAAAGATATATATAAGAAGATACATACCATCTTACCACAGCATAGAAAGGAGCCTCGCATACACTTGCCTGGGAGGGGGCGTTCTTTGCATGACCTGTCCCTTCTCTTTGTGACAAATCTTACCCATTGGAGCAACGCGGGTGCAAGATTATGTGCTCAGCGGTGCTTTGCTGTGCGTAGCAGCGCTTGGCAGTGCTTGCTAAGGACCGCTTCGTCTGTAGTTGTCGAAATGTGACGAAGCCGTGGCCCTGCACCCAATGGACAGCCCCGTGGTTGCTGCCACTTCCCCACGGGTTCGTTCCCGCAGACGTTTTTGTCCTCGGCCGTCACTGAACAACCTCGATTGCAGCCGGTTGCAAGTCCCATGACGGGCGCTGCCGCTGCCCTTTTCTTCGACTGCTGCAATGCGCGCCTCTCCCCTTGGGTTGAAGGACTGTGCATTTGTTGTGCCTGCTTGTTGAGAAACGGACACGTTGGGACAGACTAGTTGTTTGTGTGCCACGTGTTCGCGCCTTCAGCTTCATTTCATCGCAAGTAGCCAGGGAATTGCATGGGTCACCGCGGTCATCTCAGCAAGTGTACCAACGGTGGTAGCAAGAGCGATGGCAAATGATGTTGGCTTTCAGAATGGCAACAATAGAAGTAGTACTGATATATGATTGTGCAATGCCGTTGATTTCACTGAACAAATCATGGACACAACTTTGCTTGGGCAAAATGACCAGCTGACGGCCGCCTCCTGTCCATGATATGCACTACTTCCTGAGTAACTGAATGACATCTAATTGCTTCCCACGGGCCTCATGCACACTGTTTGTCGCCCCACTGCAGGTGTCCGGCCTCCCGAACCGTCCATGGAGGGCGACGCTGAAGGGCGCCACGGCGGGCACTGCCGCCCTCGTGATGTGCCCCTGGCTGGCTGACATCCTCCTCCTAAGGTCGTTCGTCGTCAAGGTGATATTGACCATCTTTGTGGGCAACGCAGCCACGGCCATCCTCACACATTTCTATGCCTCCTTGGCGGTCAGGTGGTTCGCATGCGGAAAGTGCGAGGGGTACACCAAATCGAACAGCCTATTGCCATAGCTGCAGTCCGTAGGCACAGTGCAGTGGACTTATTGGTGCTCGCTCGGTTCGCAAGGGGTTGCCACTTTGGTGGCAGTGGACACGGAGTTGTCCTCTTTTGGGATCACACCTTTCTTGGGCCGTGACACCGAAGAGCGCAACCAGCTGACGAAGAAAACTTGCCAGTTTGGAAGCAGGAGGCAGCCATACAGATGGCTGGCTGTTGGGAATCGGCGGGATTTACTGCCATTGGGGAGTGCGGGATCCGAACGCCTTGTCAAAGGGTGCGACGCTGTGCGCTGGGAACTCAACGACAGAATCTTGACTTGGACATCTATTCCGCGCATCCTGAGGCAAGGCACCTGCTCTGCGCGCCTAAGAGCCAAACCGCATGGGACTGAAGAGCGTGGTGCCGCACTGTAGCACACATCGATGCTGGAATAGTGCGTTTCTGGGCGTTGGGGGCGACCATGTTTCAGCACGGGGTTGGACAAATATGAAGAAGTTATTTGCCTGGAGTTCTGACACCGTCCTGGTCTGGAGTTCATGAAACCGTCGCCAGATGCCAGAATATTTGCCTTTCGCCAGACCGGTTATGGAACCGCACTCTTGAATAGCCGTACACACAACCAAAAGGGTCCCGACTGCAGAATCCTGGCTCTCTGCAGCAACCCCCCGTGTCGAAACGAAGGAAAGCAAACAGGAAGAAGAAAAGGACCAGGGGGGGGGGGGGATATTTCCCGTCATACCTGTCTGCATGCCATATAGGACCCTGGCATGGGGTCCCAACCCACAGGCGTCCTTGTAGCCTCATGGAAGGAGTGAAACCCACGAGCCCCATCAAGAACGCCATGAGTGAAACGAATTACAGGGTCCCGGCCAAGCCAAGATTCGCAACCATCGGTCAGTCGGGAAGGGAACCGCCTGGCTTTCATCGACACGGAAACAAATAGAAGAGCAGCAGGAGGGCAAGCAACGTGACCACCCAGGCGATGTGTTCAAACCACCAGAAGGTGGCAACGTGGACGGCAGGCTGGCTGCAGAGATCGCCGTTCGGCAAAGTTTCCCCAGACCAGCAGTCCTCGTCTTCGCTGCTGCTCACCTTCACGCCTGTGGACAAGGTGGGCAAGATGCAATACGCATCTGAAAGAGCGGTGCGAAGCCACATACCTCTTAAATGTACCTGGCGCTTGGCATGCCTAGTTTGTTGATGACGGCAACGCAAAAAAGACTGTCTCCACACTTTTGGACCAGGCCAATCTGGTTTCTAAATGCGCGAGTGTGGCGTGAAATCGTGCCCCCAGGTTCCCAGATTTCCCCCGATTTCGACCCGCTTGTGTGAAGGCTTTGCAAGTGTATGACCTTATCACTGTTGAAGGAGAGCTGTTCACTAAGCGCAACAGATATGAATCTTCAATGCATGTGAATAACATGGCCTGTGCCCCACATGTAAACAGATGCTTTCAGCAGGTCAGCATCGTGAATGCAGGCTCCTAGCTTGGCCAATTCCTTGCCGATAAGATTGCCCACGGCAACGATGGCTGAGCCAAGCGATCAGAGTTCGAACTACTGCTGAGCTGCACGTTGAGCAAGACGGTGCTGACCAATACAGCGAATGACAGCCAAATTGCCTCCTTTCATAGTTGAATGCAGCCGCCCCGTTTTTGCAATAAAGACAAAAATGCGACAGGATGCCAGGCTGACCACAACTTCCTGTGGAAGGAGGCGGGCAGGGTAAAAAATTGTCGTGTTGTGATGGGCAAGCTGTGCAGCAGAAGGCACTCACCCATAAACTTGCAGAACTCTTCACCATCAGCCGCCAGGTCTTCGAGCCTAGTACATATCAGAGGCCCATCCTCCTGACAGGGCGAGAGCCTCGCTGACATTTGCCCGTAGGAGAAGAACTGGTTTTGGCATGCTGAGTACCAAGCATTGCAGGTTCGAGAACACACTGTCTCCTTCAACCCGACTCCCACCTAGAAGGGGCAAACCCAGTCAGGGGGGAGCAAAGTGGACTAACAATTGCAGGACAAGAGTTTGCCGGTGGCAAAGGATGTGTCAACAGAGCCAAGTCACTGACAGATGCACTGTCCCCTCACAGTTCATTCAAGTGCCTGGATGTACCTATTCATGGCCGCAGGGAGCAGTCAGCCAAGAATACCTTGCACGTATCAATCCTTTCAACACATTTGATAACAAAATTACAGCGCAGCACCAATGAAACTACAAGGCGCTATTGGGATCCTAGGTTGCATACAGCCCACAGGCAGTGTCAGTGCGTGCTGTCCAGCACAGATTTACCACATAATCATCCAAGCACATCATCCAGTCGCAGAGAAGGTGACCTACTGTTGTGCTGTGGCACCACTGCACAGTAACCTCGGCCAAGGTGGATTTAATCAGCAGCAAGCATGCAGCACAGAGCTGATGAAGAAAAGTATATTGTTGCTTTCAATGCAGCAGCAGATCTGGAATGTCTGCAGACGTCTGACCAGCTTCACACACTTGTAGTGGCCACAAACTTCTTCCCTAAATTGCACCTGGTTCCTTTCTGGAGCTACATAGGAGCCCTTCTCTCCGTGGGCTCAGTTTCCAGAGGTTCGAGGGATCTTTCTTGGGAATTTTTTCTTCCACCCCCACCCCATTGTTCACCCACTGCAAGACAAATACAGAGACGAATTTTCCACCACTTGTGTGTGCACAACACTGCGATTCCTGTTTAGCTGTGTCCGATTCTCGGATCACCACAATGGACAAGGGATCGGCCTGTTCTTGGGTGGAAGGATGTTCTATTGTATGAATTGGCTCACCTCAGGATCGCACACCCTGCAAGCCAGGTCGGACAGGGCATCCACACATTCCCTAGGAAATGATGCATCCTCCCTGACATCTTTAAGGCTCCTCTGTATCGTGATGCTGTGGCTCACATTGCAGCAGGAGCATTCTTGATACTGTGAGCAGGGCAGGAAGGGGAAGATTGCAACAGGGTGCAATAACCATGTAACTCACAAATTTTGGAATATTGAATATTAACATTTTGGATCAGTAGATCCAAACGATTTATCTGAACTTCACAACACACAGAGAATTGCCACCATATTATTCCAGAAATATTACAGTTCCGTACAATTCACTGTCTGCTGCATGTCCAGCCATATTAGGAAATCTGGACACATGTGTTTGGAACACAAGCTTGAGCAAACCTGCCAACCCAATGATATGGCCTCGATAACATTCCCAAGCTCCCAGTCCAGCAAAGAAATGTCTACACATAACATGTGTTTCGAGGCACACGAAAAGCATCTGAAAGCAACTCAATTGTTGGCATGAAACTCAGAATATTGTTAGGTCACATGCCTGCTAGCCCTGCAATCTCCATGCGATGCCAGCTCCCCTCTCTGTCCCAAATCACATTTACCCAATCTACAAGGTTGTTGCTCCACTGCCCACCTTGGTGCAGAAAGGAAAAGTCACATACGGTCTTTGAGGGTAATGGTTCTTGTTATCCAAGACGAGGAAGTCCTGCACATCAGAAGTACCAAAAGATCAAAATGCCTCCGTCAAGTCTTCCCCCTGGAGCCAGGCAAGCGAAGCTGCGGGACCTCAGCCTGGTTCCTGCGGCAACCCAGCCTGCCGTCGTACACGTTGAGCCCATCATCACACTCCGAGCGTATAGAACACGGAATACCACACACCGCTAATATTTTGCTTGAAATACAGACACTGCGGCGATCATCGGAGACCGTCTGAATCGTGCTGCTAAGGCCATGTCCTTGGGCAGATCCGATTCAATCACGCTGGTCATTGCTGGTAACCAATATTCCTTCCTTTGTCGAGGCGCCACTGGTGAGGGCTCCAAAGGCACCAAGATTTCCACAGCTTCGCCGCTCAGCGCCAAGGATTCCAGAGTTTCCCGGCTTTGGCATCGCTCGCGTCAGTTCACTGTCAGGAGTCCAGGATATCCGCAGGTCACCTGGGGTATACACGCCACTTGCCGCGTTTCTGCCAGGGCCCTCAGAGCTTCGAGCACCCCGAGTACCGAGAACGCCGCCGCGAGCGCCAGCCTGCGACTGGCTGCGAAGGGCATCCTCGCTGCCCTTCCCCGCCCCAGCCAGGTGCGATGGCATGCTTTTTGAAGGAGAATGTAGTGGGGCGCCCAAGGAAGGCATGCAATTACTGGCTGCACCAAATCGGTGACTTTCTGCGCTAAATCCACTGAGAAAAAAGGGCCAAATAACACTTTTGCGAACACACATAAAACACACTTCATCAAAGTTCTGCACGCTAAGAACACAAAAATAACACGAACACGTAAACTTCGTACACGTTTCAACACGTGTTATTTTGCCCTTTTTCCCTAGTGATCGGTGACTGCTTGCACCAACTGGCTCCAGAACTTACCTAACCTAAAACTTGAACCCTCAAACCTAAACCTAAACCTGCCCTAACCCTAACCCTAAAACTCACCCTGAAATTAAACCTAACCCTAAAACTGAGGTTAGGACGCAGTGTGCACGTGACTTGGTGCAAACAGTCACCGATTTGGCGCAGGCAGCAATTGTATGCAGTGAGTCAGCATTGGTGAGAAAGGCGCGGGATGAAAATCTCGGCGCCCAGCCACTTCCAATGGACTGGAGAGAAAATTGGCAGAGTGGGGGTGTTCTCCTGTACGCCTATTTGAGCTGCCCACCAGGCTGGCTGTGTCACCGGCTGTGTTGGTGTTACTCCGTCCTGTCCTTGTGCAGTAGCACCAATTTCCACTTGGATAGAAGCGCCAACGTAGCGCCCATGAATCAGCTGGCCATGGCTCCGTCCCAGTCGGCCACGATGCGTGAACGAGCCTTCTTGTCCACACGATGTTGAGATTGTGCTCGATGGTTTGCAGCGCACATGGCGGGTGGCATCGATCAATCACCACCGTGTTTGATGCCGAGTTCGGTATCCATGACAGCACCCAAGCACTGATCTAGAATTATTTGGATTGCATCTAAACTGCCATTGGCGCCCGTTACAAGCTCCCCCTTTTCGTTTTCATCTGTACTGTTGTCCAAAAAAGTCCGTGCTTCTACTCTGGCAAATAATTTTTTGCAGCCTTGTTGATTTTTGTGGGGCGAATCGTTGGATATCACTGCGTAAAGATTTTGGAGATTCAGGCCCCGAATGCACTCTTTGGTTTCCTCTTTTTGGAAACCTCTTGCGCTCATGCCTCACCCAATATTGTCTGAAAAGCCCCCCTTTCCATGGCGTTTAACGCCATGGAGGGATTGATAGGGTGATTAACAATTACCTTAATCACATGCAATAATATCTTGTCCAAGTTCTGGATACACAACAGAGCCGCCGCAGAATGGCGCGCTGTGTTATATGGCCAGTTTTGACACGTGCTTACAAAAATAGAGACAATGAGCAGTGGTGCATGAAACTGAATTCACACAACATTGTGCAACGTTTCATCGCTGGCACAGACATACTCATGTGCAGCCACAGGTTTAAAACATCATGGTTCACTAACACGTGGTCCATGCTGCACGCGTCCTCATCTGGCTCCTCTTCAGCTCCTTGCGCCACTTGCAAATGAAGCACGGCTCAGCTGCAATGCCGCATTGACCAAAGATGGTAGGACAAGGCCGTCGGATAGCAGGGACAAGAATGGGTTCAAAACACGGTGCCGGCTTTTCCCAACGATGCAGAAGTGGAACAGGCCATGCTTTTGGAAACCTCGCCGCGCCTCACAATAGTGGAATTGAAATTGAACCCCCAGTTGAGCAAGGCCTGGCTCAAATGGACGTGTTTCTGCACCAGGGCGCATGCGTCCATCGTGCTGGCCATGCGCAAAAATTCTTTTAGGTGATTTTCCGTGGTCCTGGTTGCACTCATGTGCTACCACATCCAAATGCGCCCGCGTTTCGTGTTCAGGTTGTTCGACGTTTCTCCATGTGCCGGTGGAACATGTTTTGCATCGGTTGGCCCAAGCCCAGCGTGCCCTCAATTCCAAACCGTCCGTGCCTATCGTTGAGGAACATTGACTTCAACACGCCACCATCCGATGGAGCTGTAGCATTTTCCAGCATTTCGCGCTTTGGTGGCGCTGGGAACGTAAATGCAAGGCAAACTACCAAATCGCTGATAGTGATCATGATCCAATCTCAAGCCAGCTCGGATCCTTCTTGAACATGTCGGTGGTTGAACAACAGAGAGGCCATCGCAATGGCACATATGTTGGCAACGGAAGTTGACTCTTCTCACAAAGATACCGCAGCCGTCGAAAGACTGGGCGACAACAGTCCATTCTGATGAGGCCATGCGACTTTAAATTCCCAAAAGGAACAGCTGCTAGAAGCAGTGGTGTCTGCCTAGGGCGGTGCGGGGAGCTATTCAGCAACGCCTGAAGGTCCCAAACTCGCACGAACCGAGCAAATGTTGCCCGACCGAAATTCGGTGTCCCCATATGAGTTCGCGACCGTGTGCCTGACATCTTCCCGAATTAATGCCCCAGCGCATACCGCCACACAAAATGCCTCAAGTGGGGCCCTTTGTGGGCGTTTTCCCAAGGCAGTCCCTCTGCAGATTACTCGTAAAGCGTTCAAATCATTAAATCTCGGGGGGCCTTGCCCACCCGTTTGTAACGATACTTCGTTATGTCAGATTAACAATCGGGACGGTTTGGCGCACTCAGGGCGCTGGTCCAGTCTCAGCACTAAAACACTCAGACACACTCTTTTCCAGGCATCCTTGGAAGTCCTCACACCGGTTTGCCAAATGTCTCTCCTTACATTACAAAATCAAGCCAAATATCGTGGGTAGAGGTGGGCGGGAGCGAAAAACGAGATAGCCACAAGCTCGTTTCGCCAACCTTAAGTCCCAAGTTCCCCGTTTGCCCAGATCACTGTGAACCAGTTTTTCACTGGTGCAAACAGCCGCTCAGTTCGGTTCCTGGGCTTCATAACCAACCGCGCCCGGTTCGCCCAGGCGCTGCCCATAACTTGACCACAACTTTAAGAATAGTGGCAAACTCTTTCTCACTGAGCCTTGGCTTTCCAAGCTTGAGAACCGGCAGCGCCATCCATCTAACTCCAAGTGCGCCAAGTACTAAAACCTTTGCTGGCCGTTCAAAGGTTCCCACCCAACGGCCCAGTACTCGATTTAAACCTATTCACTGCATTGCATTTCGTAAATCTCGCAACACGACGCGAAAGCCCCACCGCTGGCCCCTTTCCGTTCCGCACGGCCAGTTTCACCACTGGCACCAGTCTCCAGGTCCGAATCCGCGTCCCGCCATTCGCCGCCACAACGTGAGCCGCGCCCAACGCTCTGGCAGAGGGCCACCCCACGTTACCAACACCCCATTACCAGCCGCCCATGTCACCCACGCTGATCACGTCCAAACCCACGCGCCCGACATCCCTCATACCTTGTCCAAAGCAAAGATCCACATGGCTGCCACGACGCCGCGCGGCGGGCACACGTCGAGCTGTGACGCAGCAGCATCACGCCAGCGGCCAATTCCGAGGATCAAAGCCGCCGCATCCCGCGGAGGGGGGGCGTCCAGGGGCGGTGGGACAGCCGGTGGGACAGGTGGCCGGGGAGGAGGCCTGATCCTGCCACTCGGCGGCACCCGAGGGGCGGGGGAGGGCGCGCCCCGGCGGCCTGCGCCGGAGGGGGCCCGTGGCGGAGCCAGGGAGGGGAGGCGAGAGCGGACGGGGTGTGGACGATTACAGCGACTGAATGGGCGTGGAGGACCGCCGGCCAGCTACGCGGCGCAGAACAGGGGTGGGAGGCGCGCCGCGCGCGGCTCGCTATTGGCGTGGGCAATTTTCGGGGAGCTTCGGACGTTCCTTTGGCGTGCCCGGGTGCGTGCCCCCCGTGCGTGCCCTCCGTTGGGAACCGCGGTTGGTCGTGCGCATCCCCGCTTTGCCGCATTGGTTCCGGCTCGGGTGCCCTGATGCGCGCCCACTGCTTTTAAAGTTGCGGGCGGGGCGGCGGCGGCCGGCAGGACCCGAGGCCTGGCCGCCCGCCCGCTTCGGTTCAACATGTTCGTCGTGGCTTGGAATTTTTTTGACGCCCCGCCACTGGTCGTGGTTTCCGCGGCATGCCCGCGGTGCGACGGCGCTGCCCGCCCGGGCTGCTCATTGTCATCACGGGCCGACTCCGCTCGACTCTGCGCGAGCGAAGCTCCGCGGCTTGGGCGCGCGGCGCTGATGCATTGCGACAGATACGTTTGAGAAATCTCAAGGGTCGGTGGGGAATCGCGGGGGCGCGGATGTTCGTGTGGGGGATGGGGCGACCATTGTTGAGGAGATGGGGCGCGTGTGAGCATGAAGGCGCTGGAGTGCAGGCGGAGGGGACGGCGGGGAGGCGGGGGAGTGGGTCCCGGAGCCCAACATGTGCCTCTGGTCTCTGCGTTCGGAGTTGTAGTGTTGACGCGAAACGCGCCTGATGGGGTAATGAGAGTGCTGTGGGCGGTGTTGCAGCGGAGCAGGATGACGGGGTGCCCTTTTGTGTGATAGGGTTGAGTATCGTAGGGGGGCCATGTGCTGAGCGTCGTGAAGGGCGCATGGCCGTCGTGGCCGTCGCGAGTCGAGTGGTGCGCGCCGAAATTTGTTCCGTTGTACATCCTTTCTGCTCTTCCCGCCCGAGTCCACGCTGGCCAAGTGCGTTGCAAATTTCTCCCAACAGGTGTTCGTCACCCAAACAAAGCCCGATGACCGTCGTACAACAAATTTGTCCTTGCTTCGCGAATCAAACCAAAGTACTTTCCGCAGTACTTTGCACTTCACAACTTCCACCTTCAAACCGTACTTAGCATTCCTGCGGATGGGCGGGCGGGGACGCAAAACAGGATGGAGACGGTCAGAGGGCGCCACCCGTTGTTAGGCGGCATCCGCCGCCCTCAAAAAGCGCGCCAAGCCTTTCGCTTGAACGGCTGGTCGCGGCTCCCCTTAAAAGCATGCCAAATACAAATATATGACCAGCCCATCACTCGCCGCCCTTGGTCCTCAGCGTTTGGGCGACGGCCAGGGGCAACCGCCCCGGCGGGGTGCCCCGCCAGGGCTGTTGACGTGTTCTCGTCTCCCACCCATGTCTCCCAGTCAGAAACTCAGTACCTACGTTAATACCCTGTGCGTGGCGTTCGCTGGGGCCAATATCGGTGTGTTGCCAGGGGGACGTACCAAAGCGGATTTCTGTCTTAGTCATGCCCTTATAAGCCCTAGGATGATCTCTGTGCACATGACTGTCCTGTGGTCTCAAAACGAAGCCCCAATTTCCAATCCATTCAGAACATTATTGTGCCATAAATTAAATCTCAACAATAAAAGTTATCGTCTGGAAGTATGATAGAGCCCACACCGTTTGTGGTGTGTACGGTAATATTCTGCCTTTGTGAAATGATGAGTTCCCTTGTATGTTACAAAGGTGCACGCTGTGATTTTTGGCGATGAATCATGTCAGAGGAGGAGAAGGCTCTTAAGGGTGCTCGAGCAGCAGGCTGAATACAGCTTCGATCCTGGCATGTTCTGTGCGAAGTTGACGTGTGCCAGGCAGCTGAGACAGCTTTGGTTCGTACTTTGGCAGGTGTACAGACAAGCACAGGGAGGCCACCAGAATGTGGCCTCTGGCAGTGTCATGGCGACTCTTGCTGATATGCGCCTTCATATGCACAGTGGACTCGGTGGCAGAACAAACGAACGCACAGAGGCTCCGTCTCAAGCATGAGGACGGATGTTTGACACCCATCGCCGTGCACAACTGCACAGCGTTTTGGGCGGCCCTGCAGTCGCTGCCCTCGAATGATCAAGGAAGGATAATTGTAATTTCTGGTTCCGTTAACTGTTCTTCTTTCAGTGGGGGGGATATCGAGCTACGTGGCAAGACAATCGTCAGGGGCTGTGGCCCACAGTGTCCGACGCCTGTCCTGGATCTGGGGAGTCAAACAGGCAAGATATTGTTGTCAGAGGGCGCCTCTCTGGCATTTCATGGGGTAGTTGTGCTGCAAGACTGGGTGCAGCTCAGTGCAGCGCGAGGGGTCATAATGCCTGCCATTGCGCTGCAGGGAGGGAACAATGTGCGTTATGGGGTGTCTGTTCTGGCGGCCAACCACTGCGCTGCTGCAAGATTGCGCAGCTCCAGGCGGCAGAAGTCAGCGAACCCCAAGAGTGCAGGTCGAAAGATGAGGAAGGAGCTTAGAGCATTGGGTGCTGATGTGGAAACGGATTTCACCATCAACAATGCCACAATTAATGTTGGAGCAGATGGGACCGGGGGGGCCCAGACTGGGGAAGTATTAGTCGAGTTGGTTAGAACCACAGGGGACGCTTTGCTGAACAAGCTCGGCGTCATTGAGTTCTGCGAAACTGTGGTTCTGTGTCAGCTCGGCAACAGTGTGGAGGTTCTTGCGAAACGGCTGCAAGATTTGCAGGCGCATGACTGTGGCTCTTTCGAGTCATGTGGGCAAGTGGGCAGCCTGTCAGCGGACGAGGGACCTGTTCCTGCAGAGACAGAGACCGAGGATGGCAGCGGCAGCAACAACCAACTGGTGGTGATCGCTGTGTCCACAACAGGTGTGCATGACTGGCGTGCTGTGTTGTGCCAATTGTGTCCATTGAGTTGCACGAAAGTGGAATGCTTGATTGTATTGGACCTTTTCAGGAAAATTGATCCGGGCTGTAGCTCCTTTTTGCAATCCATGCTATCTGTGCCACCGCTGCCACACATTAAACTACAGGAATTGCAAAACTATGAAGTGCCACAAGTGAGTAATGTCCAGGTGCTCCATGTTGATGTCCATCTTGGGCCAGCCTGCAATGCTGACAGAGGTAAAGAAAGGTTATTGCACCCCACCCCCCACCCCTTTGCCTATAAAACCAATTGCCTCACAAACCAAGAACCCCACCTGTGCTGTCAGTGCAGCATTTGCCAACAGGAGTGCATGCAAAATTTCTGCATGAGCATCCTGGACACTTGACCGCATTCTACTGCCCTGCAGTTACGATCATCGTTCTGTTGCTGGCGGCAACCATGTTTTCAAGCTACGTCGTGAATAAGAGAAGAAGGAAAGAAAAGGTAGATACAGACAAGCCCAAACCATCCCCTCAAGCTCCAACTCGGCAGGAGGAACCCAAACACGAGCCCTCCGAGCAAGCCATGGCACGCCAAGCTGAGAAAGTTAAACTACAACAGGACAACGCCCATGATGCGTACCTTGCAGCCAGAGAAGAATCTTCCTCCGGTGGAGCTTCCGATTGGTCCAAACTGGACATCAGAGATGTGGAATTCGAGGCCTTGATAGGCAAGGGAGGGTTTGGAAAAGTGTACAAAGTCAGGTACCATGGGGAGGTGCTGGCCCTCAAGATGATCAACCATGAGGACGTGTCTGGCGATGCTGTGAGCCAGCCCCTAGAGGTATACTTCAGCCAGAGCATCAAGCACCGCCACGTGGTGAGGACGTACTTGCACAACACGCACAAGAGGAGTTGCAGCGAGGCTCCATGCATGACACCCATTTCTGCAAGGTCGGAGGCTGACTGGCTGAGCTACATCGGCTCGGTGAACGAGATGGAGCTGGGCGACTTCCGAACCTGGCTGGTTATGGAGTTCTGTGACATGGGCACCCTGCAACAAGCCATCGAGGACAGAGACAGCACATTCTTTGGGTTTGGAGGGGGCTGTGCAGTCAAGAAGGCAAGGCTGGTTTTGAGCTGTGCCAGGGACGTCACGTCTGCGATGGCGTACCTGCACTCACTGGACATTATCCACGGTGATCTGAAGGCGCAGAACATCCTACTGCAGACCTGCAGGAGCAACGAGAGGGGGTTCATCTGCAAGGTGAGGCAGCCACCCAGCCCCGCTAGAACAATGGGCATTTGGTCAAAGGCAGTAGGCCACAACTGGTGCAACACCAGGAACTCATACATGCATGCATTTGCTTCGAGTGTGCATGTTGACCTTCCTTACGCTAATGTTTAGGGTTTCCACATTCTTGGGTTTCCACTTTCGGTGGTGTAACCAATTGCGAGAGATGCGTACACACCACACACACACACTGCAGTGCACCGATGGGCCAGTCAAAGTGAATGAGAACAGGCTGCCACGTGGGGCAGCACTGTTGACCTGCAGAGGCAACCATAACATGCACATGGGCGACTGGCGCCATCGATTTCCACCCCATGTACAGCCCGATGCATGGGTCAATTGTGGGCCCCATAGTCCAGACATAGACTATGTAAGTGCATAGCATACTACAGCATTATGTTAGAATTAGAATATGAAGTGTGTTCAGTCTTTGGCTTACTTTGCTTCACAGGTGGCAGACTTCGGCTTGAGCAGGAGCTCCCGCTGTCGCTCGTACATTCAGACAAACACATTTGGCACAGTCTCCCATATGCCGCCGGAGCTGCTCAGCGACGGAATCCTAACTCCTGCGACCGACGTCTACAGCTTTGGCATGATGCTTTTTGAGATGATATCTGGGGAGGCACCCTATTCTTCCATGGAATACACGGAGATCGTGATGGGGGTTGTGGCAGGAGTGCGGCCCACAATCCCCAGGAACTGCCCACCAGCAGTGGCCCTGCTCATCAAGGACTGCTGGCACAGGGACTACAGGTTGAGGCCCACGTTCCGTGAGATAGCAGACAGGCTTGACAATATCATCGACCACATGACGTGTCCTGTGGACGACAAGGAGGATCCCTTGTTGCTGAAGGGCGATGTGGGTGAGTTATCAGCGCACACCCCTGCACATAGCCAGTGGGCACATTGGGTGTGTGTGGTGACTGTCCGAGGGAGGGAATCTGCACCTGCTGTGGGCCCCCAGGACTCACCTTCACAAATGTCTTGTGACCAGGTCCAATGGTGGCCACTGGTAGCAGTGCCTAGGCACTGCTTTGTTTGTCAAATACGAAAATGAGTGTTTTCATTGATAAGAAGTGGCCACCTTAGTAGGTTTGCTTGCAGAAATGATAGCGAATTGGCTGATTGCTCAAAAGGATTTGCTGCAATGTGCATGCACTGTTGGACGTCACTTGTCCGAGGCAAAAGAGAACTCAAGGTAGCACAGCTGAATGACCACGTTTGTTTTGGGCTTTGCAAGGCATCATTGACTTGCACGTTTAGGTCAAGCACCAGGGGGAGGGAGAAAGGCAGCCAAGAACATCCCTTTGTCTAGAAGGCCTGGCCTTGTTTATGATTGATGAGTGCGCTGGCACACAGCTTGCATACTTTTTCCGTCCTGCCAAGCTATCGCCTTGAACAAGCATTTTCCCTCGCACTTCGCCTTCGAGGTCACATGTAAAGACTGGCTCCACATTGCAAGGGTCTGTGTCACAAGCACACTGGAGTGTGGCAATCAACAGACGCGGCAAGCCATCAAAAATCTGTTGTGACGTCTCTGTGTCCACGTTCCGCCAGGGGCGAGGCCACAAGAAGAGCCCCCCGTTCCCAGCTTCTTGATCGGCAGACAGACCCTGAGCGCCCGCTGCACCAGCCTCGTCGACACCGCGTTCAGCATGCCTCACGGCCAGGACCCAGCCGCCGCCTACACTCCCAGGGATGGCGCCTACACTCCCAGGGATGGCGCCTACACACCCAGGGATGAAGTCTACACACCCAGGGATGACGTCTACACACCCAGGGATGAAGTCTACACACCCAGGGATGAAGTCTGCACACCCAGGGACGCCTACGCTTCCGCTGAAGAAACAGACGAATACGATTCCGGTGCGGATGGTTATTTGAGCTCAAGGACTTTTCAGTAGGGGCGCCGGGGTGGGTTGGATAGCGCGCGGTGGTCCTTACCACTGTGGACCCGCCATGCGGGACTGGTGTCAAATGCGGCAGGTGGATGTCCGTGGTGGCCCTCCAAGCAGCTGCTGTGTGCTTGTGAGACACCGTGGGACAGCCGTCGGCCCGGTATTGCGCGTTGGTCGCACGATAGTCGGCTGATGCACACCGGGCGCGGTTGTACGCCTGCTGGAGTACATCAGGTTTGTACATCATCGCTCAGTGCGTTTTCGGCTTTGTTGCCGGCGCTGTGGAAAGATGGTGCAGATTGGGCTGATTGGGTCGAGGTCCGTGGACTTGTGTCCGCGCCCGTGGGTCGCTGACGCTCGAATACAACCAATAACGAACATCCTTGGGAGGTGGATAGTCAGTGGCCTGCGGTTGAAGGGGTTGTGAAGATCGTGGTGGTGAGGAAGAGAGGGGCGACTCTCGTCTACTTTAGTGGGTTTGATGCTTCGGAGGTGGCGGGGGGGTGGGGGTGGGGGGTGCGGGCGATGTGGGCATTGCGGGCAATGTGGGCGGCCTGTGGATGATGGGCGACGACAGCGGCAGTGATGGGGAGCCGAGTTGTGGGATGTTGACCTCGTTGCGGAACTATAAATCGGGTGAGCGTTGCAGAGGAGGGGGGTTGTCGCATTACTTCTGCAGCTAGGAATTTTGCCAGCGATCGTGAAGAACGATTTGGCAAGCTTCCTGTCGGCTAGAGTTGGTTCTGATGGATTGCGCCGATGTCTCTGAATGCAAAGCAAGGACAAGGCCAGCAAGGGATTTGACTGCTGTTCGTCCGCTTGCCGACAGCTCGGCTGCCCTTGGTCTTTGACCTGCCTCCCTCGGCTCAACAGAAGATGCGCAAGCTGTCAGCAAGCCGAAAACCAATTCTCGTAGACTGGTACCGGACAGCGCACCATGGATGCGAAGAAGAGCACACGTCGCTTTCCTCAGACCTGTGATGTATCCTGAGGGCCCACCAACACACTGCTGGTGATAAGACGTTTGAACTGTTCAAGAATCATCGTAAGCGCAACACTCCCATCCACTCCAAACCGCAAAAAGGAGAAACACGCGCTGAAAGCCGGACCCCCAGTCGCCATGGTTTTCTCAGGAAAGCACGGGCATGGTGCGAGGGTGGAGCAGGGAGCGCATCATATGCACAGCCAAATGCCAGCAGGGTAACATAAAGCACTGGGAGTACTTTGGGTAAGCTCGAAGCTGGGAGCGAACTGATTGGCGGTCATGGGTATTGTACTGGGTCAAGCGCTGATGAGCCTTCTTGTTAGTAGTTTGCCAGCACGCATCTTGCGCGGGCACACTGTTCCCGAAGCAGACCGCGCACACAGAGACGGCGAAGGAGACGGAGACGATTCGAGATTGGGCAGTTGGGTATCAAGATTTTAGGTTTTGGCGATGCGCCCTGTGGGGTATGCGCGGGGTCTCCGTATGGGTCTCCGTATGCGCGGTCCGTCTCGGAAAGGCCTCCAGGCGGGGAGAGCATCCCGTCGAGCAGAACGGCAAGCCTCCCATTGCCCCAAATCAGGCTCCCGCTGTCCCCGCTGGCAGCGCGAGCACGCGCAAGGTTGGGCCATTGCACGCACAAGGCACACGGTTGCCACATGCATTTCACAGGGCGCCCGCAGCGTGGCAGGGCCGGCCGCTGAACGGTCGCCCAGCGCGGCGAGGACAGGCCATGCAGGGGCGCTTCGCGATTGATGCTATCAGTCAGAAACCTGCCTCGACGCTTGACGGGCACCGGGCCTCGCCCGCCCTTTACTCATATCGTAGCTCACGGGAATCGGCCCAAGCCGGAGCGGCCCTTTCCCGGTCACTGCAGGGTTCTTCGACAATAACCCAGGGGGTCAGCCGGGGAAGAAAGCCGAGGCCCTGGGCGTCTGGGCGGCCACTCCCACTCCGCCGCCCGCGCCAGAGGCGGTGACGGCCTCGTGCGCCAAGGGCGGCGGGAGGCGGTGGGGCACCGAAGGCGATTCGGCGCGAGGGTGGCCTCCCCCCGGCAAAGGGTCCCCGCACAGTCGGGCGCAGGGGCTGGAGGTGGGCGGCCTGTTGGGGATGCGCTGGGGCGCATCAACGCTGCCCTTTTCTGGAGGAAATTGGGGGCGGAAATTGGGGCATGGTGGACGGGCACGCGAAGGGTCTTCGAGCCGCGAGGCATTTTCCCTCCCAGCGCTGTTGAACCGTTCTTGCGATGGATCGTCAGGGCGGGGGGATGCGCGGCTGCGGCGCGTCGGATGCCAGCAGAGGGGACGGGATAAGAGGATCCGCGCGGCCGGCGGGCTGCCACCGGGCCGTCGAGCCGAAAGATGGTCGCTAACCGAACCAGTGCGCGCTCTGATGGCTCGGTGGTGCCATCCGGAGCGCCCGCGTGCGCTTCTGCCCGGGCTTTGATCGCCTGGGGCGCTCGTTGACCGCGCGCTCGTGCAGCCGTAGCGTCGGCGCAGCGGGGCGCCGCTGTGCCCGGCTGCCCGCTGTCGCGCTGACGGCGTTGCCAGTGCCGGTCGCCATCAACGCCGGCGTCCAGCACTCTGCCCACGCATGCGCCCAAGCGCGTGATGCCCTGCAAAATTGTGGCCTTCAGGGGCCCGTGGCGCCATGGCAGACGGTGGGAGTTTGGCGGGGTGTTGCGGCGCGAGGAGTTGGTGTGTGGAGGCGGCCAGTGCGGCGGTGGGACTCTGTCGTGGGGCGGGGCTTGCAGTACTGGGAAGCCACGTTCTGTGTATGGGAGGGTGTACCGCGGCAGTGGCGTGCGATGACCACCGTCGGGAGCGCCGTTACTGTGTGGATTGCTCGCATCCATTTCGCCAGAGGAGGGGATGGTTGGTTGATTGATTGATGCGGTTTGGCACTGGTGCGGCAGCGGCATGCGCTGAAGGCCGTCCGCCTCATTAACGCAGCAGCAGCCTGCGGTGGCGGTCTTTCGAGTCTGACCTTGATGCGAATGTCCGTTGTTGATGTGGGTGTCAGTTCTTTAACCTGCGGCTAGAATCGTGCCATCCGAACTGTCAACAGTACCGGATGCTGGAGAAATACCGGTGCATCGCTGAAAATCGATATACCGCTGCGGATCTGACCCTGGATACCGAGGCCAGGATTTGCCTGGGAGTCCTGACTGAATTCGATGACCCATAGACGGGCCACCGTGACGCCCGTTGCGTGCAAGTACTGCTCAAGCTGACGCAATGAAGATGTCGAAAAGGGCTGGCGTGCATTTGTCTCGTCCGCCCCCGTTTAATCTTCTGTATAAAGCCATTCCCTGTGGCCGTTTCCTGGGCCGTCACTGTGCCTGTCACAAGAGTTCGGTCAAAGGCGCGCGCTACTGCTGTTGTGCCGCGTGGATCTGTGCCTCTGCAATGTCTGAAGCCATTGTTTACAATGGCCTTCGGTAAGACAAACGGGTGCACGCTGTGGGCGATGACACACACGGACAGGGCGATCTGCCCAGCGATTTGTGGAGCCCCTTCCCAACAGCCAAGCTGTTGCTTGTATTGGGAAGACCTCAATTTGGGGCTGTGTTTCCTGTGCACAGGCGTTTCAGTCAATAAAGAGAGTGCTCAGGGGGCAAACATGAAATCACAGGTTGGTACTTTCATCACATCCACCAGGTGGCCTCATTGCAGTGAATGCTGTTGTGGCTGAAGTTATGGCAGACAGCAGTGCTCCACCATTTCGCCAGGTCCCATACGTTCTGCACATTCCTGTGTTGTCTTCCAGTGTTGTGTGCTTGCCCAGCGGTCGTGGTCTCATGTTCAAAAGTAGACAACACAGTGCACCTATTTGCTGTTATGTTGTCTGCTGTTGTCGATGCACAGTTACGCTGATAAACGTGGTGCTGTGGCTCGATCGCTAACGTAACCACTGTTTTCTAGCTGCACACAAACTGGTCCATCCAATATCGCACCTATTGGAGATGTGTACTAATGTCATGCAGCAAATGTCATCACTGGGCACTTGTTCCTCTTTAGCAAGGGAGACGGGACGTGATTTGGGCTCGACTGTGTAGCCCTCAGCTGCTGCTGTTGCGGCTGGCCTGCTTGTATAGCAACTGAGTACTGTGCTTTTCTCCTGTTCAACAGGCCTTGCTCTGTGCAGGATATGTGCTGTGCATGGCCTGGGCAACAGCACAGTCAGCATTGGCACCTCCCCTCGACACTCAGTCCAACAGCATAGGGGATTTAGCAGCGGGCACAACGGTGACGAGTTGCCCTGAATTTCGTGAGGCCGTGGCAAATGCATCGGTAGAGAAAGTGGTGGTGTCGGGGCACCTTGTGTGCCCCAGCTGGCAAGAGCTTGTGGCTGTGGATCGACACTTGTCCGTCCAAGGACGGGCTGATGCGAATGCGTATGATTCAATAGACTTTGTGGAGGACGTCTGCATGATCGAAGTCCAGGAGAAATCTGCACTCGTCTTCTCCGATCTTTTGATATTGGGGGAGTGGGCGGGAGTGCTGTGCACCGATGAGCCTTCATTCCCTACTGTTGCTTACCGGAACGTCTCTCTTGGTTGGAGAGTGTGTGACTTGTCAGGCGAGGACCTGTCTCCAGATGTGTGTGAACTTCGAGAGAATGTATTTTTTTTTGAGGCCACGAAGATAGAGGGGACGAAGATGGGAACCGGGTACGACGTAGAATTCGCTGGGGTCACCATGCTCTGTGTGGAGAGTGCAGCGACTGCCAAGGACCTCATCGAACAGAAGATTGACCTGCCTGCATCGTGTGAACCGCAGGCTCGCAAACACAAAACTTTGAACGCAACAGTTGTTGGTTATGTAGTTGGCTTTGTGGTCCCAAGCCTGGTCGTGCTTGTGGGGGTAGCAGCTGTGCTGGTGAAGACAGGCAAGCACAGGCTGGTTTGGAACAAGTTGGAAAAGTTTCGAGTTGCTCCCCCAAACAATTCCTGGGGGTCGTTCACAGACATCGTGCGGAGCAGCATGAGGCTCAGGGTGCTGAGGTCGCCTGAGTCCATTACATCGGCTGTGGGACTGTCACTGCCGGCAAGACCAAGTGACGCCGCTGCCAGCAGTGAAGCCAGCAACGACAGTGCGGAGGGCGTCAAGGAGGATCCCTTGTGGCAGTGCATCAGCGTGCAGGACATCCAGCTGAAGGAGCCCCTCGGCAAGGGGCAGTTCAGCACGGTGTACAAGGGGGACTACAAGGGCACGACTGTGGCTGTGAAGATGATAGAGCATGAGGGGCGGCTGTTGGATGCTGGGAAGGTTCCCCGGGAGGTTCAGCTGAGCAAGGACATCTCTCATCCGAACGTGGTGGCCCTTCTGCTGGACAGGACTCAGAAGCGGGTCACGCACTTCAGTGGGATGTTCACATCCACAGGCTTTGTGCAGACAGACATGTTTGGCAGCGGGGAGTCAATTATGACAGGCATCTCTCAGACAACGTTGGGGGACGGGGTGTCTGTGGCTGGTTTGTCACACACGACGATGGGTGCCTTGTCTGCGGTCACGCCCACACTGACGCCACTGTCGAATGCAACACTGGGCGATGTGTTTGCTGAGGTTGAAATGCGTCAGCGGGACACAGCACAGAACGGCTGCGATGTGGAGTACACTGCATACACAACTTGGCTTGTGCTGGAGTACTGTGACAGGTGGGTGAGCGATGGTGTATGTGAATGTGTGCACGTGTGGATTCCAGGATTGATAGGACAACTCTGGTTGCAACTGCTTTGCTCATGCTGTGGTGTTGCTGACTGAACTTAGGGGGGAATGGTGTACTATTTGCTTGTTCCTCAGTTCCTTGAATCTGGTGTGTGGCACACATCTGGGCAGGGAACTGTCAGCCCTTTCCAGCAAATGTGCTTGCCTGATCGTCGGCAAATTTTGTTCACCTTGTTGACCAGTGAAGCTGGTCCAGCAGCTGATGCCTGTTGCCTTGTCAAGGAAATTTGGTCAGATGTTATCTCCCTCTCTGTTGTCACATACAATTGCTATTCCTAACCAGCAGCCATGTACAACTGCCATGCACTCAGGGCACATCCAAAGTGCAAAACCAGGCCCTATTGTGCTGTGCTTGTGCCAGCAGCTCAATTGTATAGCTCACAGTACTTGACGACGTTGATTGTCCACCATGCTTGCAAGGGGCGTCATCGAAAGGTCTCACAGTTGCAAAAACTTGACGTTGTGGCAAGTCCTAGTGCTTGTGTCTGCAGATTACTTGGGCATGAGACCTGTTTACAAAGGCAGTGCTGCTTGTGAAGGAAGCTAAGGTTGTGCTGAATTTGCTTTTCTGCCTTGCAGGGGCTCCCTTTCAAGTGCGCTTTACAATCGCGTCTTTTGCTCGCCTGGGGAAGAGTGCAGGCCGCACATGGCCCATGTCCTATTGACAGCCATGGATGTGGCGCTGCAATGCGGTATCTGCACATGAGGGGCATCATTCATGGGGACCTCAAGGCACAAAATTGCTTGTTAAAGTCGGACCCCAGCGACTCACGTGGCTTCGTTTGCAAAGTCGGGGATTTCGGCTTTAGCCGGAAGATCGGCATGGACACACACATAGAGACGTTTACGTGTGGCACAGTTAGTCATCAGCCACCTGAGTTGCTTCGAGATGGCATTCTTACCCCTGCCGCCGATGTCTATTCTTTTGGACTTTTGATGTGGCAGATGGTCATGTGCAAGGCGCCTTACGAAAATATGTGAGTGGATTGGGCCAGGACTCCTGTCTCTGGTCAGTAGCAGTTGCTGCACTGTTGGTGAACTGTGCACGTGTGCACTTGGTGGGTGATAAGCAACATGTTCATTCTTGGCATGACAAAACCCTGAGTCCAGAGTTTGAACGGCGAAGAAGAAAGACAGGTAGCTTGGAGATTGGATTCATAGCTGTCATGTGTCGAGTTGATGGCCTGGGGAAATATCCAGCACTGCATCTGAGTTGTTGCTGCCATGGGTTGCTTCACATCAATTGCATTTGCCTTGGTGTGAATATACAAAGTGTATCACAAGCTGTGGTTATAGCAATTTTACCAGCATGCACGTATTGAAGGCATGTGGGTCTGATGGGAGTGGAGCTTTCTCAGGATGTTGGGCTCCAGTGAGTTCAGTACCTGGTTTCAGTGAACGGCTCCTATCTATTTACGTTGGGAGTCAAATGCGTGCACAAAAACTTCACCTGCTGGCATGACTCTCATGCCACACACTTCTGCATCATGCAAATGCTTGGTCACCATCTTCATAGTAAGGTTTCTGAAGAACCTTGTGCCTGAGGGGATAACCATTGTGTCTTTTGCAATCTCTTGTGAACATTTGTTATGTGCTTGATGGCTGTAGCTTGAGCTGCCAGCACATCACAGCAGTTGCACAGCATTCCACTTCACTGTATTTACCACTGGCTGGCTCACTGTCTGGCAGGAACAACCAGAGGATCCTTGTGAGTGTGGTGGAGGGAAGGAGGCCTCCCCTTCCAGAGAATTGTCCCCTCGGCTACAACCTCCTCATGACAGACTGCTGGCAGGAAAACTACAAAGAGCGACCAGGATTTGAGCAGATCCTGGATAGGCTCGGGGAAGTGCTCAGCGAATGGAGCCCACAAGATTGCACACGCCTAGTGGAGACCCCTGTGCGACATTGTGGCGAATGTGCAGACTCTGGCCAGGAGAGTTTCAGGCTCCCAGTTCCCCGGGCTGCAGGTCTTTGGAACTATGACATCGACCGTCGGACCTCAGACGTCTCCTCAGAAGGTAAGCATCCAGAGAGTGCTGCCTGTTCCACAACCTCTTTCGTACAAATGGCTGCGCAATGGTTGACCACTTGGTATTGTATTTATTATAATAAACAACAGCAGCTTAGGTGATTGGATGTGGCACAGCATGCAGTGGGGGTTTGTCTCACTTCGTCATACCAATGGAATTCAATTTCCCCAAGGCGATTGCAACCATTCTTGTCCTCGAATGCAGATTCAGTTCAGACTGCGTCCCTTTACGCGAGATATACTCACAGTACCAAGCGCAATGGGACCCTTGGGCGGTCCCTTTGTGCGCCCATGAGCGTGGTGTGTGGAATTGCCGCGCGTGCGTGCACAATATGTTCTGTGGTTGACACGTTTGGCGGTCGCTGATTCGCAGGGATGCTTTGGAACCCTTCGTCGCCGATCGAGGCGATCGCGGCGCCCGTCTTCCCTCCCTGTGACCAGTGCCCGAGGCCAGTCCAGCCCATGAGCCCTGGAAGCTTCCTCCAGCATTTCGACGGCAGCAATCCCCTCTACCGGTCGTCTTCGGACGTCAGGACGCCGGATCCAAACACCGAAACGCTCGTCAGCAGCGACTGCAAAATCAGCTGCCTCCAGCAGCCCCAACCTCTGAAGAAATCCTCAACAGAGAGCATGGTTTTGAACAGAGACAAGAGGGGCACGAAGCACGGCAAGTTCATACTCACCACACCTCGCTCGTGAGCGCTGACAGTGTGACATCTGTTGGCAGCTGGCAGCTCTCCGCCTTCACGGCGGCTCAACTTCCGAACATGAACAGCAGCGCAGTGGAGGAGGTCGGCGGCGGGCGGCACTCTGCACGCCCTTGGATTTGCCCCCGCCGCCGCATTCAGCCACGATTTCATTGAGAACGACTTGCGGAACTACTAATTGTCATGCGGGCCCACGCGGGGGACCACAGAGTGGGGGCACACACGCAGGGCCTTTTGCATGGCGGGTGACGGTCGCGTCGCCTTTTGCGTCATGCCCTGCGAAACTACTTGACTGGTTGTCTATTGGGCCTAGAACAATAGCCTGCTGATTGCACGGGATAATCGAGACTATTGTGATGACTCTCTCCATGTAGCGGAAGGCACTGTTTCCACTATTGCGGTGTCGGCATGGCCATCTGCGACTGCCATTTTGGTAGATACACATTGCAGTTTGTCTCGAATTCTCCTTCATCCGAAGCTTGATGGCCACATCTTCAGGTGTCCAAGACACCTGTATGCGCAGTTATGCTCCCTGTCGTGCCCTCCTCTGTCATAGTTTTTGCCCACGTCCTCTCAAAATTACCAACAGCACTTTGGCGATACGAAATTTGCCCCTCATAGGTATGAAGTTCTTCTCCCGTGTTGGTGTCCTCGTCAATTACAACTGCGAGGTTGGCTTTTCACCTCTATCTCTTCTTCAAGCTTCAGCGTCCTCAGGAACCAGCCTCCTCGGTGACATCCTGACGTCATGACCTCATTCCTCAGAAGTTGCCTTGGCGGATCATCAGATTGTAGCTGCATGCCATCTCATTGCAGAAAATCCACTGTCACTTAGCCATACCTTTTGGCAGTAAATTGGCGTTTCTGCTTTTTCTTTGCTTGCTGAATTATAGTTAGCGGACCAGCGGGCCACATTCAGAATAGCGAAACCTATTCCTTTCTATTCCTTTCAAAACTCTAGAGCGCATTTCCATACCAAGTCCTGACTTTGTCTCTGATGTTGTGCCAACGAGTCAGTCGCCATATGTCACGCATCACTCCTTGAATTGATTAGCAACAATACCTAAGGCTAGTGCGTGGCGCCTGCGCAACATGGCATTGATGATCGCTTATGTAGCGCTGCACAGTATTAAAGGATCGTGGTTATCTGCCAGTTTGCCTGTGGATACGAGACTGCATATCAGGCAGCTAATGCTCAGTTTTGCCCGAGGTCCCAGTTTTGCAGAGGCAGAGTCCGTCCATTCAGAGGTATCGACCACCAGCGACTCCATTCAGAGTTGTCTTTCATCCGTCATCTGTGCTTGACGTAGAAAAGGAAATTCGCGCTGGTCACTCGCACATGCACGTCTATGGGCCTAGCACGAACATCCCTTTCTCGTGTGCCAAGATATTGCAGAATCCACAGGGACCAGCACTTCTGCAACACCACAAATATGTCCTTTTGGCAACTGACCGTCCAATTCAGGTGCAGTTGATTTTCTGAGACAGGAACGCAAGAATCCATATTGTTGCAAGTCTGCAAGACGGGTGAAAGTTTCCTATTCACCTGCAAGGTGATGCAAGGCAGTGTGTTCCCAGCCCTTTCAAGATACATGCCCAGATCCTATCAGCACTACGCCTGCTCTGTGCGACAAACAGCCACAGGCAAGTGTCTTAGGCCAACACAGGAACTGAGGCCAAAGATTACAGCAAACAGCGTGTTGGCATTCTGCCAAAGCCTTCCATCAAGCATGTGCATGTTTGGTCGAATGTTTCAGTCTGAACAGGGTCCCTGTTCTTGACAGTGTGGCTTGGCAGTTCCAATGCCATGCCTATGAGAAATTCTTGAGTTGTTCTTGGGTTGCGTGTCAGGAAGTGAGTTCATGCTCTTGTGGGCCACCCTCATACGTCCCCAATACTAGCCGTTGTCCCACTTCCTTCATTTGTGCTTCCACAGAGCCAGCAATGGCAAGCTCCATGTGCACTTCCTTGAAAATTGGACTCCTGCCATTTTGAGAAAAACCCAATTTGATGAACAGTGCAATAGAAGCAACGTTGTCCTCCCCAATCTTTGCCACAAACCTCTGCACACCCAAAACTCTTGTGGCGTATGCCATGAATAGCTGCAACGCCTCACAAGCGAGGCCCCTCCTCCTGCTCCCTTCCTCAGCCACCATCACCTGCAATGCAATCAGGCATCACATCCAGGCGTCACTTGAGGCACCACTTTCCTCACAACACTTTTTCTACTGTTCTGTAGGCCGCCGCTTGCACGTGGTACCCATGGGCCATGAGCAGATCCCTCCACTGGTTCTTTCACAACAGGTGTGATGATACTGCCCTCGCATCGGCAAGACGCTGCTGGTCATAAAGTCTGCACGGTGAACACGTGTTATGAACTTGTGTGAACTTGCGCTCCACCAACCCCTTCACTTTACCAGAATCCGACATCGAATTCATCTGCAAACCATTGAGACGCACACTGTCCTCGAAGGGATGGAGCGCAGACAGACCGGACACGAACAATTGTTTTGCGCGGGTGCACCAGTGCCCGTCGATGGCCTTCAGGCGCAAGGGCGCCCATTTGCCCTGAGGAGGTCGGCGCAACCCAACGACCACGGCAACCACCTCTATCTCCGCGCAACTCGGGTCTTCGTCGTTCCAGAACAGATTAACGTCCCCTGCCATCGCCCCCCCACGCGTCTTGTCCAGCAGTATGAAGGTGCACTTCTTGGGGTCCTCGGCCCACGACTCCTGCATCCTCCTCTCCTCCTCCAGGCTCAAGGGCTCGGAGGCAGTGGCCTGCTGCAGCCAGGGGTCAGCCATCCACCTGTGAAAATCCGCACCGATTACGTCCGCCTCCGAGCGGCAACCGCTGCTCCAAACTGCCAGCAGCTTCGCCCACGTGCACAACAGCTGTCGGCAATGAAATCGCAGGCTTGGCCCACAGTTACCGAATTAATTCGCTCCTACAAAGCGGAAGCGGTCCTCTGAGGCAACTGAAGGGGCGCAGAACTGAAGGGTGGGCAACCAGGTGTCCGTGCTGCGCGCCCATCCACCTGTGATAGACGTCAACGTGCTCTGGCCGGTAGGGCACCAATTTGACCCTCTCGCCGTCCACAGTCGTGTTGTAGTTCTGCCTCATGGCTGTGCGCAGGCGGCCCCCCCGGCAACACACGCCACAGCGCCCAGGGGCAGTGTCGTGTTTACCGAGCAGATGCCACAAGCACCAATATCTCTCTGACTTGTATTCGGTACTTGTCAGCGGAAGATGAAGGGATCCTCACGGAAAAGACAGAGGGACTAATATATTCTCCCCTTGGGTGTGTTGCACGCCAACTGCAGAAGTGACTGTCGCGAACGGGCGGCTCAAATTGGCACTGAGCCTTTGGGCTGCGGCGACCCAGGGGGTACGGGAGGCATTCACAATCGGACACGCGAGGAAGGACAACTCTGTCGCACACGAACCGAACCCGTTCTTACAGATGGAGTGAGTGTTATTTATAGCTTGATGATGTGACGGTTCAAGAGTTGCTGTATCCAGAATCCTCACTCTGGCCACTTTCACGAGCTGGCCGGGTTCGTGTCCCTTTCTCATGCCAAGTTTCTATTCCCGCCGCCCAGTCCAACTATGATCCATTGCCAACTAGCCCAGCAGCTACCCGCGTACACTACCCACTCCACTCTCCCTCACTCCCACACTTCCTCAGCTCCTATTCCCGCCGCCATCCCCAACTATGATCCAATCCCAAAGCCGTCCCCGTTCATTCACTATAGCCAATTCCCCTTAACTGGCTCCCCTATTATACGTACAGCCCCACTCCCCACAGCACTATCGGCGCAAGTCGCGACGTCCCCGGCGCGAGCAAAAATCGATCATCGGCCACTGCCCCCATTCCACTCGATCAGATCATAGACAGATGCTGCCATTCTTTCCATCGCTCAATGGCAAAATGCTCCCCGGCTCTGATGCACCTTCACCTCCGAACCTTCACCTTCTTGGCCGTCTCGTTGGTGGGCGACCGCTGCCCACTCCGTCATCCTTTGGAGCTGCTCCGGATCCAGCTTGACGCTTGATTCCACGCTTTCCAGGCACTGGCGCTCTGGTCCTTGGATCCGCGGTGCACAATTTGACGTGGTGCCCCGCAAAAACCTTTGTGCGTCCTTTTCCTGGCACTTTCACTCCAATCGCTCCTTTGGTGCCTACCCACTTGACGGTGGCAGGTCCAGCCCATCGTGGCGCTAGCTTGTGGGCTCTCTTCTCCACCCAATAAAGCACGGGATCTCCCGGTTGCAGGCTGGTCGTGTTCCTCCGCTCCCAAGCACGTGCAACCTCCTGCAGCTGCAACACGTGTTGTTGGCGCAGCTGCTCCAACTTCGCCAATCTCGCAGCATTGTCCCTATCAGTGCTCTCGCCCTCCTCTGGCGGTGATGGCACTATGTCACACTCAGCCAGCACATTGATTTCCATTGGCCCCCTGGGCAGAACTCCGTACAACAATTCAGCCGGCGATGCATTGCGTTTCCGCGTGCGGCGCGTGTTGATGGCGAAAAGTGCTCCCACCAACAGATGGTCCCAACGATCCCCTTCGCACATCTTCCTTAATCGCACTAATACTTCCTGATTACCCCTTTCAACCCTTCCATGAGATGGGGGGTAATATGCTGCAGACCAGCTGCGTCGAATCCCCCATTTCTCGCATAAAGTCTGGAATGCACCGTGGAAATGCGCTCCGTTATCCGTATGAATTTTCTGCGGGATTCCAAACTTCAAAATGATTTCGTTCACCACGAATTCCACTGTTGCAGCTGCGGTCGCGTTGGGATACGCACGGGCCATCATATAACCCGTCATTCCATCAATCGCTACAATTATGCAACGGTTTCCAGCTGGCGTCACCGGCATGCCCAATATCCAATCGATCTGGACCCACTCAAACGGCTGCCTCGCAGCCACCGACACGCGATTCCGTGAAGCCTTTCGAGGCCCATGTTGCGCGCAGCGCATGCACTTATCAACCCAGGCGGTGACATCACCTTTCAAAGTGGGCCACCAGAATGCCCCTTCTAGGCGCTTCATAGTCACCTCTTTCCCGTAGTGGCCCCCAAGTGCAGAATCGTGGGCTTGTCGTAGGGCCTTTGGTACTTCGGCCTCCAGAAGGCAAATTGCATAGGTGCCACCTGCCATGCGCTTGAATAGGCGTCCGCCTTCCACCTTAAACCCTTCAGTTGAAAACACTTCCCTCATGATGCCCTGATACCACTCAGAACTCACAAATCGCTGAATCCCGTCAGTGGGGATTGCTGCCATCTCGTCCTCCGGGTCCATGCCCACTTTCCCTTCGCATTCTCCCATGGGCAACTCAGCACATTCAGACAGATTATCACTCGATTCACTGGGCATCTCATCGTCCACTTCCCTGGCCCAGAAATGGAATTCGTCATCATCAATTTCTGCAGCATTAGGTACGATTTCTGCCGCATTTCCTGCCCTCATTCTGGACATTCCGTCAGCATTGGAATGTTTCTGCCCTTTGCGCGACTGGAACTCAATATCATATTCTGCAAGTATGCATTTCCAACGTGCACATCTCCCAGTCAGATCACGTTTCCGCAGCAGCCCCAAAATCGGGATGTGATCGGTTCTCACAACAGTGGTTCGGCCTAATATGTATGGCCGGAACTTCACTACAGCCACCACCACAGCCAACGCTTCCCGTTCGGTCACTGAGTATGCCCGCTCTGCATTTGTCAAAAGGCGCGAGTGATAATACACAGGGTGCTCACTGCCATCCGAAACCTGAGAAAGTACAGCCCCCACCGCATCGTTACTTGCATCGGCGTCCACAATGAAGGGGCAATTGCAGTCCGGTTTTGCCAACACCGGTGCATGGGTGAGGGCCGACTTCAGCTCCACAAAGGCCCGCTGGTGTGCATCGTCCCATGTAGGCAGCTCAGCGCCCCGTCGCTCTGGGGTCGCCTTGAGCAATTCGGTCAGTGGCTTGGAGATCTGGCCGAAATTCTTAACAAAACGACGGTAGTAACCTGTCATGCCAAGAAAACTTCGCAGCTGCGTTTTTGTGATAGGGATCTCAAAATTCTCCACTTTCTCCACTTTGTCCTTCAGCACCGCCATGCCCCTCGCAGAAAGGGTGTGCCCCACAAACTCCAGCTGCTCAAACCCAATAAAGACCTTCTTGGGTTTGAGTTTCAACTTGAACTCCCGGGAGCGGTCCAGAAATGCGCGCAAATCCCGAGTGATGCTGTCCTCCCCCGTGTGTCCAATGCCCCCATCGTCCACAAACGTCCGCGTTCTTTCCAACCCACCATATGCCCTTGCTACTAGGCGGCTATAACGCGGGGGGGCATTTCGAAGCCCAAACGGCAGCACCGTCCATGCATAAATACCGAACGGTGTCAGAAAGGCTGTAAGGGGGATGGAT